GCCCGATTAGTTCAGCTGGATAGAATGTCTGCCTACGGAGCAGATGGTCGTAGGTTCGAATCCTGCATCGGGTACTTTTCCATCTCACCTTCCTCGTCCAAGAGTTCTCTATCCAGAGAGTAGTCATCGCTAATTCCCTTCCCACCTCCTCACAACGATCTCGATCAACCACCCGGACCTCTTTCAACGAGTAACTAACAACGCATGTCCGCAACCCTACAGAGTCTCCACTTCATCACTCGTGGAGCGCAGGGTCATAATTTCCCCTCTCCAACTTCGAGTGGATTCTGCCAGTCTCTGCACCCGGCGTGAGCAAGTCTGCTGAAGCGTCTGCCATGTCCACCACCTGCATAGATTCCACTCAACAGCAGCCCAGTATCAAGCCTACCATTAGGCCCCATGGGCTCTCCTGGATCGGCACGAAACAAACATCGAGGCCTCTGTGGCAGCCTTGCCGTAATAGATCGAAATCAATCGTCGGTAGAATGCATCTGGAGCCCATGAGCAGATGAGAAATATGAAGCAGACGTTCTCGACCTTCCTGTGACCCCGCCTTCCCTTAACTGCAAGCTTCTCGCACTGGAGCACCTCCCGGCCAACCGGCACGAGGTCGGATCCTGGCACTGCCTGAGAGAAGGAATGGCAATGTCTTATTGTTCGAGAACCAACCTGTGAGCAGATCGGCACTTGAGGAGTTTTGCTATATCATCGTCATCACAGGTGGTGAAGGGCTCGTAGTCTGCGCATCTTCGGATCGTTTGCAGCGGGCCCACGCAGAATCTGCACGTCCATCGAGGCCTCCATGAGTATGCAGGATGATCACTCACACGAGTGGTCGATGGGGTAACGCACACACACCCTGTCCTGGTGAGGTCTGCTCAACTCGACCAGAGACGACGTTGAAGAGGCGTCCTGTCACCCACACTCCCCCTTGTTGGTCGCGGCAATCGGTCTCATTACGAGGCTGGAAAAGTAGCAGATATGATTTCCAATACCCTTTCCAAGACTGACTCTGTGGTCGAGACAGATACCGTTGGGCTCTGTCGGTAGGTTGTCGCTTTTACAGTAAGGGCACTCAGCACCGACACACCCAGCCTTGGCAGCACAGAGATCTGCCTCTCGTATCTGAGCAGATTCGACATCATCCTAGCAATTGACGAGCAACAACTCACTCCATGATCAACGTTGCATACAGGGAAAGAACAGCTTCGACTCGTGGTCCGTACCCCTTGAGACCAGTGCCGGTTCGGTACCGATTTGAAAAACCTAATTATGGGTAGTCCCAACAACTCCACCATTCACCGCTCACGCCATGGAGTCCGTGGATCGACACGAGATACTCCTATAGCGACCTTTCCACGTCTCGTATTCTGCCAACAGCTCTGTATCGACCTCCGTTGGGAGGGTCATGTTGAACTCCACAAACTCTTCCTCAGCTTCTGAGAATTCACTCGGCCAGCCGCGACTCGACAGACCTACGGGCAGCCTGTTCTCGTTGGGTTCACAATCTAACACACCTGGTTCCTCGAATAGGTCGGCATCAACATCACTAAGATAAGGGCTAGAGGCCCTAGAAGGCCCACCAAAGAGCCCCAAAGGGTCTGGGAGACGATACAGGCATCCGCCTCTACCATAATTCATATCAGAATTCCACTCCAGGAACGTTCCTGTGAGAGAAACCTTCTGCACAGTAGCACTCCCATGCACACCTCCCAGAGTCTTTTCAGCCGACACTCCCAACAAGGACTTGCCAAAACTGCTGATCTCTGTGAAAGGCAGCGTTTTCGATCGCTCTATTTGTTCCAACCTGTAATAAGCCAAGACACTTCACATTCCAACGGCTATACACCACCTCCGTCGTTGCTCATCTACACCTTCCAAAACTTCACGTTCGCACCTCTCATACGCTACGACCGGATCGAGAGCTGAGCAAGGGAGAATCCAAAAGCAACCTCCCTGTTATTGTTGTTGGTTTTTTCCGATCAACCAAAGAATTTGACTGATTTCAGATCACAGTTCTTCAATCTTCATCTGCCCACCCTCGTGCTTTTTTCATTTTTTTATCCCCGTGATTTCGACCATACACTAGGAAGAAAGACCCCAACCTACTCAGCTGAGTGATATCTCCCTCGAATACAAAGTCGTGCATGCATGTGTTGCGGTCTCGTAGGCATTTTATAGTTTCCCTAAGAGGTGCTCTCAAATCCACTAACGCCTTGTGAACTCACACGTCCTTAAAACCTGTGTCGGTTGACGCTGTCCACGGCGCTTGATTATCATACAACACATCCTGATCTGAGATGTTCTCGAGGTGTGGTATGAAAATAATGCCACCACCTCACGTTTGAAGAGCCCTTTACAAGTGGTCCAAGACTGAACAATGTGTGCCTCGTAAGCGTCCGGGTCGTAGGTCACAACGGGAAGGGAATCTCCCACACTCCTGAGCTTGCAGTCAAAATGCCGATGATTTCGACGATTTACGGTAGGGAGTTTCCAATATCATTTAGAAGGCAGTCCGGCAAGCAAAGGTCAATACAACAGGTTTGACACTCTGTACAGTTGTCGGTTGTCCTAAGGAAACCAAGAAAGAGATACAAAGCTGATACGAGTTTTATAAATTATTCTCATATTCACAATTCTTCCAACAAAAATTCGCTGAAAAATATGAGCACTACATGTAGTGTTCGCTCGGAGGTTAATTCAACAGCCGGAACTATACGATTATGAGCATCACAGGTGAGACATGAAGTTCACTCACTTCCCCTTCAACAGTGCCCCTGCTGAGCTGCAAAAGAACGACAGCCTCTCCTTCACGTTTGCTGTACACGTATGACAATCACAATGGCATCGATATTCACATGAAGCATTCAGACTAGTTTGTAGTATGTCGCCTGAATAAACCACTGAGAGTAAAATATATTCATCATCGTACTAGGGGAGGGACCAACAAGCTCGACCAAGCTCGGCTGCTGGGCACTGTACTCTTCACCGCTGATTCCCACCTGTGTGGGGGGAATATGATCAACCACATGTGTTGATATGAAAATTCTGGGAAGAAATTTGTATGATATCTTCTACCCAAATCGTATGAAAACTTCTGAGCTCAGCCGAGAAAAACGAACATATATTCCAACACAGTTACTCACCTGTTGTTGTTGGTCTTTCCACAGAGCATAGACATCTCTAATCCTTGCATCCTCAGCATTTCTATCCACCAACTTCGTCGTAACTCGGCCCTCCACGAAACTCCGAACCGAACCTGACCAGAAAGTGACCCGCGAACCTATAATACTTTTGCATTTTCCACGTATGAGTAAGAACACATTCTTCAAACACTTTCCAATGTAAATGTCACCACATAAGAAACATTTTCCCCATTTTTATCAAACCCTGGGTAACGTTATTTCTCAAATCTAGAGCTGTTTTCAACTTCCCTACGCTTTACAGTAGGCTGGCTGTGGATGCGGCGCTCTGAAATTCTCGTCGACTTCCAAAAAAGCACCACTAGTTGGAACTTCCAAACCATCGTCCACACGATAGTGTACAGTCGCGTCACCCTCCACACCATCGAAACCTGCAAAACCAATTCAACCAAATTCAAGCACGAAAGTT